AGAGCTAATCCGGGTGCAGGTTGTGGCTATTTTCAGTATTTAGAAAGCATTGTCATTTTGGAGGTTAGCAACTACTTGTCGTTCTGGAATTTTCAAGGAAATTCCAGTCAGCATTGCTCTGCATTGCTCCGCCAAGCCAAAAACTTGTTGCCTAAAATTGTGTATCTAGAATCTCGCAAGTGCACGAGTCAACAAGTAGTAAAATGATGAATAATTAAGTATCGTCCCACAGGGACTGTGTGTTTTTGAAATCAAATTGTTAAGTTAATTCTATGCAAGTTTTTAAACAAAGACTAGAAGTGATTTTTAAGGTGTTAAAACTAATGATAACTTGACTATAGAAATGAACAACAAAAACAAAATTAATTAATAAAGAGTTTGCAAATAAAATTGGCCAATGTCACTGTTCGCGGCTTAAAATTATTAAACTGTCTTTTATCACGCTGCGCGTTGCTGCAGTAATGGACAGCAATGAAAACTTCTAGTTAACCGGATTCTACTAAACCAGGGACTTTCCAATCCGCCGTCTACTAATCTTAAAGCTAAATCTCACAAATCCCTCTGCAAATCTAGACTCTAAAATCAGAGAATGAAGCTCTAAATCGTATGGTTATGCAAGACATAATATATTCCTATATCATGTGGATCAAAAATCTGTAACAAGATCTAAGAACTTGCATTACTCAAGTTATTTCCACTCAACTAAATCTTCCCAGATCTAATCAAGCTGTACTCCCCTCTTATGATTTCCCAATCATAGTTAAGGCACAAATTCAGCTCACTTGAATAAACAGAGAAATAATCATCAAATCCATTCAACATCAACTAGCAACTTAATATTTAACAAATCAACAACCTCAGCCAACAAATCATAATCTCATAGAAATATATTTATGAATTCAAGTTCAGATTCAAGAAGAAGAGTAAATATTCTTTAACAAGAAAAACAAAGTAATGAGAATAAGAAAGACTAAAATGATGATGAGAGAATCCGAATCCCCTTTTTCCAAGGTTTCCTCTAGCTGCTCTTGCATCAACAGATGGTCCTTCACGTTTAAATCTCTGTGACGTTTTCTTCTTCTTCCTCCTCAGTACTGGAAATGGTACTTGATCAGAAAAATGGAGGTGGTTTGCTTTTCCAAGTTCAGCCGCCTCTGCGTTCAAAAATATGACCAAGGACCCCTTCTTCTCTTGCAGCTGCAGGTACTTATTGTACCCTAATTACACGTGGCAGCCCCTGAGGAAGCCTCCAATCAGCAGCTAAATCAGCACCCTTCACGGTTAAATCAGCCCATTCTTCCAGCTCAGGTACAGCTGTCAGCAACATGTGAATCTGGTCCAACTGGCTTGGCGGAGCAATGCAGAGCAATGCTGACTGGAATTTCCTTAAAAATTCCAAAACGACAAGTAGTTACTAACCTCCAAAACGACAATGCTTTCTAAATACTGAAAATAGCCACAACCTGCACCCGGATTAGCTCTTTTTAAACGCCAAACATACGAGAGGGAATTCATGAAACCAAACTAACTAAAAACAATTAACAAGACAAAATAAAGGAGAAAACTAATACTGATTACCCTTTAGGTAATAATTTAAGCCTAGGAAATGCTCAATTAACTCTATTTTCATAGAGTTATCACACCCCCAAACTTAAACCATTACTCATCCTCGAGTAATGACACAAAATAAAACACAATAAAATGCAAGAGGACAACTGCAAGACTCTACTACCCTTCTAAAAAATTTGGTTTCTGCTGCGAATGTGGTCAACCCTCGTCCTTCAAGTTGTTTTTCCATCCTAACCCTTCGTTCAATAACAACCTTCATGACTCTCTAGTTCAATTCATCTTAGACCTCTCCCAGAAATTTTTCTTCCCCTAAGTGTGTGTGTGGAAACTGTGGCTAGGTATACTTTTTAATCCACAAAAGAGGCTAAATAACTCCATTTCTTGGAGTTATCACACCCCTAAACTCAAGATTTTGCTTGTCCTCAAGCAAAACAAAATGAAAAAGACTAAAAAACAAGTGCACATTTATGGATGAATTCTCATGAATAATTCCTTAAGGATTGAATTAGAAACATAGCTCAAAGAAAAACACAATTTTCAATCAACTTTTATTTCTAACTTCAAAAGATTGTTTCTTCTCCAATTGGACCTTTCTTGTGTGTGTGTGTGATAGCCTTGTGCTATTTCAACATTGAAAATCCAAATGAGATCATGCGAACATGCTTATAGAATATAGAATTTAGAATTTAAGCACATGCATGCAAACTCCATAAGCTTACTTTTCAAAACCATCTCCACTAATGTAGACTAACACTTAATCAAGACACATGGGGCACATGTTACTCCTGGTTACTCAGCAGCTCAAAACAGAGGAGTGTTCAAACTTAATTCACGATTTATTTCTCTCTCTTTTTTTTTCAGCCGAACAACCCCCCAAACTTAAGTTTTTCTCTACCTAATCCTGGCTCCTCCTCGATACTTGGCTCCCTACTGCTGCCTCAAAAAGTTCCTTAAACCAGTTCTAAAACCTTAGGCCTCCCAATAGCTCAAAGATCCTTAAGTTCTTCTTAACTCACTAACCACAATCCAAGTGCTAAATAGGGGAATGGATATTTCCTGGGAATTAGTCCATAATAAATTTTCCTATTGAGTCATTCGAATTAACAAATCCAGAGTTTTCAAAAATTTCCAAACAACTAAACTATCATTAGGCGTCCTTAGATTAACCACTAAATCAGCCAGAACCAGAGAACAACCATCTAAAAATAAAAAATAAAAAAATTTTGAACAGAAATTAAGAACACAAAAACTGACAAACAAAATCTAAGAATATAAAACACCCCCCCAAACTTAAAGGGGAGCAGTGTCCTCACTGCACAAAAAAATGAAAATTAACCATTCTAAACACAAAAACATATAAATAAAGTGTATAGGAAAAGAAAACTCCCTCGCTGTGCGTCATGTGCTCCACTTCCAATTTAGTGGGTTGCGCATCGAACGTCGCCTGGGTGGTGGGTCGTCAACCACAGCTTTGCCCTTCTTCTTTCCACGCGACGATGAAGGCTCTGGAACATCAGCAGCAACGGCAGCTGGCGGCTCTTCTTGCTGGACACCATTAGTGGTGTCCTCCTCAACAACTTGTGCTGATGCCTCAGCATTAGCATCAGAAGCGTGTGCCCGCAGAATCAGCTCCTCTGGGAAAGCAGGGAAATTGGCCATGGGCTTAGAAAAATTGCGTTGAAGAGATTTCTTCAAGGCCCTGTCTCTGTCCCGAGAGTACACCCAGTATTGGCGTAGCTGTTCTTGTTACTGCTGCAACATCTCAAACATCTCAAACTGCTGCACTTCGAAAATGCTCATCCTTTGTTCAAGCCATGCCTGACTTTGAGCCGCAGACGCAGATGCTGTAGTGTTCTCAGAGGGCCTGGTCGGCTCTTCCTCATTTTCCTCTCCTTCACTGGCGTTTTCACCTAGCGCCGTCTTGTCTGCCCGCCCGGAGGATATTCGGGTAATAGCCACCAAATCCATTGGGCCAGTATTCCGCATACGTGGTTCACCCTCGTCCCAAGGAACATTGGCTTGAATGCACATTTCAGAAATGAGGGAAGGAAAATACAGACCTCCTTTGTCTTTCTTCGCACATGCCTGGATTTGATCGATGATCAGCCGCCCCACATTGATATGCTTACCCAAGAGAATGGCGTAAAGCAGAATAGCTCTATTCCGGGAGATTGTCTTCCCGTGAGTCGAGAGCAAAATCCGGGAAGCCAAGAAATGATACCAGACTTTGGCAACAGGCAGAAGTTCATGCATGTTGCATGTGTAGGCGCCTGTGGTAGACAATGTCCACTGCGCTCCTGGGACGGCAATAGTTCTCAAGACGGCATCAAGTTGGTCCTCCATTGTTTCGGTCATGAGATCAACAAATTCATCCTCTTGGTGGTGAATACCAAGCACAGTATTTATGTGATTCGAAGTGAAAGGAATGTGTACCTGACGGACAAAAACAGTGTTTTGCCCCTGGGTTTGCAAGTTGGCATAGAATTCCTTGACAAGAGGAACGACGGGATCGATGGGGTGGTGACAAAACACTTGCCAATGCCTTGGAATAATCACATTCGATATGTATGCCAGCTGCCCCAAGGTGGGACTGTCGTGAAGGAGGAAACCCTTTTCCTTTACCAGATTTCGAGCGCTGATGTTGCCGGAGTACTGTTTTTTCTCATCCTCATCAATAAACTTTGGAATTTCTGGGGCACTCCAGGCGGAAGAGGATGGATTGTTGGTGGCTTGGGTCTTGCCAACGGCGGAGTCAGTTTTGTTGGAAGAGAACGACCTCTTCGCTGCACTTTTCTTTCCCATGGCTCAAGCAAATGGAAGAGCTTGAGGAATCTCGTGACAAACGGGGAAAAAGGCCGCGGAGGTTCTAGGGCAGAAATTTATGGGCGATTTTTCTAGGACAGGAGGAATAAGGACGAAACTGTTTGGAAAAAAAGTGAAATTCGAAATGGGGGGGTTGTAGATTTGGGGGTGGGGTAACTCAAAAATGCCGTCGTTTTCATTGCTGGCCATCTGCTCATGATATTACCAAAATGCCACCGTTTCATATGGCTGACAATCTACTCTCACTCCACCAAAATGACACCGTCCCATTTAAATCCTTCAGAACCAATTCAGCTTCTCATGAGGGGGAACAATGCTACACGATGCTGTTCGACGCTTCAGTAAAATCTTGTTCTCATTTTCCACAGCAATTTAACTCCCGATGAATAATCAGCCACCTGTGATAAGAGCTGTCCTGCCACTTAATAACTAAGTCAGCAATCTGCTTGAAACTTAAAATCAAAATAAAATGGATAATGAAATAGAAGAAGAAAACTGAAAATAAAAAAAAAAACATCAAAATGAAAGAAAATAAAGAAAAACAGAAACTTTGGGTTGCCTCCCATTAGCGCTTGTTTTTACGTCTTCAGCCTGACGTCTTCCCCTTTTTAATCATCGCTCAATGTGACAGAGGTCTTGGAACGTTCCATAGGTCCTCCCCAATAATGCTTGACACGTTGTCCGTTTACCAAGAACTTTCTCCCGGATTTCTCCTCTTGTAACTCCACAGCTCCATGTGGAAAAACCGCGGCTACTGTGAATGGTCCTGACCATCTGGATTTGAGTTTGCCTGGGAATAATTTCAACCTTGAATTATATAGCAGCACTTGTTGTCCTGGTTCAAATTCCCTCGGTTTGATCCTCTTGTCATGCCATCTTTTAGTCTTTTCTTTGTACAACTTTGCGTTCTCATACGAGAACATCCGCATCTCTTCCAACTCATCTAATTGCAGCAACCTTGCTTGCCCAGCAGCTTGTAGATCCATGTTGAGCTTCTTTGTTGCCAATAAGCCTTGTGCTCCAATTCTAATGGTAAATGGCATGCCTTGCCAAAAACAAGACGGTAGGGGGACATTCCCAAAGGTGTCTTGAAGGCTGTCTGGTAGGCCCATAGTGCATCATCTAATCGCAATGACCAATCCTTTCGGTTTGGGTTCACGACCTTCTCTAAGATTCCCTTGATTTCCCTGTTAGAAATCTCTGCTTGACCGCTTGTCTGGGGGTGATATGCTGTGGCAACCTTATGCTTAACACCGTATTTGGCGAGCACCCCCTCAAATTGTCTGCTCACAAAATGAGTCCCCTCGTCACTTATCATGGCTCGTGGAGTCCCAAAACGAGTGAAAATATTATTATGCAAGAATTTGATCACCACCTTTGAGCATTAGTGGGGAATGCCACTGCCTCAACCCATTTTGATACATAATCAACTGCTACCAATATGTACAAGTTGCCATATGAGGGTGGAAAAGGCCCCATAAAATCAATTCCCCATACATCGAACAACTCAACTTCCAAGATATTAGTCAAGGGCATTTCATGACGTTGTGAGATGTTTCCCACACGTTGACACCGATCACACATCTTGACAAATTCATAAGCATCTTTAAAGAGTGTAGGCCAAAAATAACCGGATTGTAATACCTTGGCAGCAGTTCTTGAACCCCCAAAATGACCTCCATATGGTGAAGCATGGCAATGATGCAAAACACTCAATGTCTCCTCTTATGGAACACATCGCCTACAAATTTGGTCCGCACCCTGTTTATATAGAAAAGGCTCCTCCCAATAGTAAGATTTCATATCATGGAAGAATCGCTTCATCTGCTGTCAGCTCATTTCCAGAGGTGCCTTGCCACTTGCCAAAAAATTTGCTAAATCCGCATACCATGGCAGTGAAGCTTGCTGCACTACAAGGAGCTGCTCATCGGGAAATTTCTCCTGAATAGGAATATGTGACTCAGCCCCATTCCCTTGCTCAAGTCTAGAGAGATGGTCTGCCACTTGATTTTCGGTTCCCTTCCTATCTTTGATTTCAAGATCAAATTCCTGAAGTAGCAAGATCCACCGAATCAACCTTGGTTTGGCATCTTTCTTGGAGATGAGGTATTTTATGGCTGAGTGGTCTGTATATACCGTCACCTTTGTCCCCACAAGATAAGATCAAAACTTGTCAAAAGTAAATACCACAGCCAATAGTTCTTTTTCTGTAGTGGTATAATTCAATTGGGCATCAGTAAGTGTTCTGCTAGCATAATAAATAGAATGAAATAGCTTCCCTTTTCTCTGGCCGAGCACTGCCCCCACTGCGTGATCACTGGCGTCGCACATCAGCTCAAATGGAAGTGCCCAATCCGGTGCAACAATCACAGGGGTTGTCACAAGTGCTCTCTTCAAATCAGAAAATGCACGCTGACAATCTTCATTAAAGTCGAATGATCTGTTTTGCTCTAAAAGGAGACACAGCGGCTTGGAGGCTTTGGAGAAATCCTTTATGAATCGCCTATAAAACCCGGCATGCCCCAAAAAACTCCGTATTCCCTTGACCGACGTAGGAGGAGGCAATTTCTCAATGACTTCGATTTTTGCTCTATCCACTTCAATGCCTCTTTGGGAAACTTTATGGCCCAAGACAATTCCCTCTGTGACCATAAAATGGCATTTTTCCCAATTAAGGACCAAGTTAGTTTCTTCACATCTCTGAAGCACCTTAGCTAAATTTTTCAAGCAATCACCAAAAGAGT